CATACTTGTTTTCTCTCCTCCGTGATACAAACAAAACCAGCAGTTTTTTCCAAGTTTCTTGCCACAGCCAGTGTAGGAGCATAAAAACAGAAAATTTATTTAAAACCAATGTGTTGCTGCCTGCTTAGAGAACAGGGGAGACTCTGTGTCTTCAAGACTTAAGTTTTACAATACAGGGTATCACCATTGCTCTTGGTTACCCACCAGAACTTGATGGTAAGACCCTGTTGCTGAACACACCTCATACTTGAGTCACAAGACATGAAGTTGGTACTTACATGGAATCCTCACCCCTATTGGCTAGCTTGCACATTACCAAAGGTGCTGCGGAGTAGGTTGCAAAGTCTTACATAAGCTGTGAGCACTCCAACCTATAATATAATGAGTTGCTTGGCAAGACACACCCACTGGCCCAAGTGTGGCACCAATGTAATGGTAACAACCAACCACTTTCTGACTGAACTCACAGCCTGCTCCACAAGATGGAATCCATAGCTCGTACTGTTAACTGGACCAAAAACGGACAGCTGACTACGTCATAGGCCTTAGGGGAGAACTTAATGCTACTATTCTGCTAAAACTTCTTCTGAATACTTACAGTAATACCAATCAATAGATTATTATAGCTTTCCACCCTAATCAAAGAAGCCTGCCTCTTCTTGAAGTTAAAACAGAGACCCACAATTGATCCAACTGCAGAGATAAGTGACTGTGGAGAGCTCAGCTCTAAATGAGACATCGATATTACATCCTGTTCCCGAGGCTCAAGAATCATTACGAAAGAAGAGGAGGAAAGATTGTAGGAGTCAGAGGTCAGGGAGGACTACAGGAAGTCATGTTTTCCAGACACGACAGGGCTGCTGCATCCACCAACTCACAGCAGCTGTGGTGACTTACTTAAAAACAGCACAAGATGAAACCAGTCAGAATTTCAGAATAGGAAACACAAAGGACAACTCCCAACAGAGGATCTGTTGGCAGCTGATGGCTGTTGGAGGAGGGAGAATCAGTGTTCTTTAGAAATGTTGCTCCTGCTAGGTGGCTGATGCTTCAGTGGCTGACCCACGAACATACTGGAAATACTAATTAGACTCGGTGGGTTAAAGAAAGAGTACATGAAGTTGGGAGACAAATACAGTGCAGTAGGTTTGGGAGGAGACTGGGAGAGTGGGATTATAGGATCAATTTAATCCAAGGATACTGAGTGCATGGTGAGACATTTGCAAAGAAAAACCAAATATACACTTTTAAAAGGTCTTAAATTTTCTTTTTTTCTTTTTTCTTTCTTTCTTTCTTTCTTTCTTTCTTTCTTTCTTTTTTTTTTTTTTTTGGTTTTTCGAGACAGGGTTTCTCTGTGCAGCCCTGGCTGTCCTGGAACCCACTCTGTAGACCAGGCTGGCCTTGAACTCAGAAATCCACCTGCCTCTGCCTCCCAACTGCGCCACCACTGCCCGACAGTCTTAAATTTTCTATGTTGTTTATATTTAAAGTTGTATTTATAAAAGTACTGAGTTTGGGAAGATTATTTAATGACAGAAAAGATACACAGGAGCTTAAGAGTTGGCTGAGCTCTTAAGAGTACTTCATGGGTCCAAAGGACAATCTGGTTCCCAACACCCAAGTCAGGCAGCTCACAACCACCTGTAACTTCAGCTCCAGAAAAATCTGACACCCCTTCTAGCCTTCTTAGGCATGCTTAGTACACACACACACACACACACACACACAAATAAATAAATAAAAATAAAACTGTAATTAACAGTTTATCTTATGACTGACAATGATAACTAGAAATAAATGCTGTAATATGTTCTATTTAAAGCTGTGGATGGCTAGATGAGGATAAAGTATCTACACATGCTTACATTTTCACATTCTTGTATGACAACAAATTGGCTCATAAGATGAATAAGTGCTCACATAAAGTAAGCCAGTTGAATTAGTCCAAATATTTCCTAGTTCATAAGTAACTCAAAAATTTAAAATTCAACATCCTGATTCTGGCAATCAAGACAGATTGCCCAGCAGTCCCAAACTGCCAATTAGGGACACAGTAATGAAAGCCAAAGAACAGCAGTTCTGTAAATCAATCTAGCTATTTTAGAGAACAAATGGAAGGGTGTGATCATACCAGACTTGACTTTTGGGGTCTGGCACATACTTCTATTTTAACAAAACAAACAAACAAAAAACCAGTAGTAACAGAAATGAGAAAGGATTGAGACAAAACCCAAGATGCACACGGGAACAGTCTTGGTCTGTCTCCCAGCTGATCACTATCTCAGTTCTCATCTGTAAGACGGCCAAAATGTTCTTACTGGGAATGTTTCCATGAGATTCTGTGAAGCAGGCGAGCAGGCAGGCAGGCAGCAGTGTGGCCTTAGCTCTAAAGAGAGGAATGTGGATCTGCCTGGAAGCTGTTCTTACAGCTTCCTGGGGATGGAATTAGTTGCAAAGTAGGAGCCAGGCTAGGAGCAGGCTCTCAGATTACCAGGCAGGAGGTAGGGAAGTGAAGAGGGTGGGGAACAGCGGATGTGGCCACTAGTACCCAGTCTAATGTAAACCCACTTCTCCAGGTGGGAAATCCTGGCACCTGAAGTCTGTTAGCTAGCAACTCAAACAACATCTTAGTAAGGTGGATGTGAGTATCTGTGAGGGGTAGATGTTACTTCCTAAGCAGAGCCTGGATTCTAACACTATAGTCTTTCCACAGCCACTCACATTAACAAGATGAGTGGGGTGGTGGGCCTGAGTCCAGGCCCATTGGCAATCATTGGCAGCAGCCTTCCACCCTGGCCCCAAGCGACAAATGAATGTGTATACTCCAGGTGGATGCCAGAAGCTGGTAAGTAGCCTAGACAAAGCAGCCAGCTTGTATACGGAAAAAAACTGAGCGCTCTAATAAGAACTGAGTGTGCCACCTTATATAACTGCCCCAGGTTCTAGGGCCTTCTGTTACCTTCCATACATACTTGCTTACTCCTGTCCTCTCTAAGAGTTAGAAAAGCCCTGTTCAAGGTAACCATTGGGAATTTAACCTAACGTATAGGGTTTTCTAACCCAATACTGCGCTCACATATAGTAAGGCCTACTTCTTATCAGTGCTCTGCGTTTTAAAATAATGTGTAGAGAATGGAAACATGGCTCAGCAGGTAAAGGCATGTGGATGCTGAAGCCTAGTGTCATGAGTTCAATCCTGGGAACTCATGTAAAGGAGAGACGACAGTTCACAATTCTCTGACCTCTAACATGCAAGCTGTAGCATGCAGGAAACACACACACCACACATATACACAATAATAAAACAACTAAAATTTAAAAACAAAATTCAATGTCTAGAAACATCTGAGGACAGTAGCAATTATGACAGGGCCCAACTCCAGCCCTACCCATATACATGAGTTTAGGAATATCAGAAGGTAGAAATTCAGGGCTTACTTTTAGTGCTAAGATTCAGACTCACAGGCACAGTTCATGGGATTTAAAGACAGCTTCCCCTTGAATCTGTGAGATTCATAGGAAAAGCAGGTGCCATGGAGGGGGAGGAGGAGGAGGAGGAAGAAGAAGAGGAGGAGAAGAGGAGGAGGAGAGACAGAATGAGGAAGCCAGGGCAGACTGCTCAGTGACACTCTATACCGTAGGGAATATCTGCTTTCCAACAGTGTCAAGCCTAGAATGACTCCATTTTATCAAGTCACAACCACGACCAAAGTTACTCCAAGTTTAAGAGCCCCCTCCCAAAAGAAGGGCAATACAAATTGTTTACACAAGCAACCTCCCCCCCCCCAAAAAAAAACCACAATCTGCCAAAATACTAGGAGGGACAAACTGACAATATCAACAACTGAAAAATATTCCAAATTGTAGTAGAAACACCACACAAAACAAAGCATACAACATATAACCCTCTCACCTGGCACTATGAAAGCGCATCCCAAGACCAAAGGATGGCAGGTGACTGTCAGACTTACCCATAGGGAAGAACTGAGCCAATCCTTGGACTCCATCTCCAGTGCGGTTTCTCCTGCCCAGGACATTCAGCCAACTTCAAATTGACTTACTGCATGCTCGGTGCAAGTATACTTGACGTCTCTGTGCCTACACTGCTAGGATATCATTTTTGGTCCCCTTCAGATTCTTCTTTGCACCCGTCTCAGCTCAATTCCTCCTTCTTTAGAACGGACTCTAAACTCAACCACTTTAGCTCTTAGTCATTCTGTGATCTGCACATTTGTATGTTTTTGTGTGGAATGTTCATTATGTGATCTGCCAGTTAATGTTATTACTGTTATTAGGTTGTTATTAGATTGTTATATAAAAAACTCGTGATTGCCAATGGCTGGTTAGCAAAATCGGGAATACTTGACTAATTATTAACGAAATACACATGACTTGTGAATTATTAATTATTCGATAAATTCTGGCATTGGAAACACACAAACTTGTCCCCCTGTTTATGACAACACGCCCAGGACACAAGGTCACCACACCCTGCGGCTTCCCTGCCCCCCCCCGCAACACACACACACACACACA